AATTAAATAAAAAGAGAATTTATCAGCCCCGTACAAGGCACGGGTTTAATATCTAGTTGATTAATAAAAGTGAAATAGAAATAATTGTGAAAGTAAGAAAAAACACAGTTAATGCTAAACCGTGAATAAAAAATACGAATTAAACAAAAAATACATATTGGATTTACCATGATGCAACAAATAAAAGAAGTAAAAACTTGAAACTAGCGCTAAGGTTAGGGTTAAGATATATCTCCAAGAATCCTAGATTGCGTCTAGAATATCCAGAGATTTTTCCTTTTTTCTTTCTCATTCTCCAGGTGGGGGAATCAAATTAGAGGATACCAAATTGACATAAAATGATCAAAAGCAGCTCAGTGAGACTGAAAGGAAGGAAGGAAAATAAAACGGTGATATCTGTAGGCGGTTTGCTTGACGTATTTATTAAAAAATCTGCTAGTTTTTCGACTTCAATAGCATAATTGGGTCTTAAATTTACACCTCAACGTCTAATTTTGGTAATCTTCAATTTTCATTTTATTTACAAATTCTAGTTTTCCAATCTTGTTTTACAATTACATATCTTTCGAATATCAAGTCCAAAATTTTTCCACTTCTTAAAGAAAGATGTATGGATTATATATCACCCCTAAACTTTGCCTAAAATGCATCAGCGGCTATAAGAATTGTGTCCTCAAGGTTTTTTGCTTGTTCATTTCTCGAATACTCGTCTATACTAATAATGAAAGGAAACAATTAGTTGAAATTAACTTGCCGACGGAAAGTAACCATAGAAATGATATGCTTGTTTCCTTCAAGATTCTTAGAACCATAATAGAGGGGATGAGGTAGAGAAACTTCCCTTCTGAAAAGCGATTATCAAAAAGAATTTTAGTATGCATCCTCCGCCTCCAACTCTTGCTTCTAGTCGTGTTGTTAGAAGTGAGACACCTTTGATTCTTAAGGCAACGCTTCCTATTTAATAAATGGATCTCTAAAGAATTTATCACACTTTTGATTGTATAGTTACTCAATGGCTGAGCTAAGATTTTATAAATGCAGGAACGAAATAATCAAAATTTCAGTTTCTCAGAGTGAAAATATTAAAAGATTTCTATTTATACTAAAATTTGAAAACACTACTTAAGAAAAAAAAATCCGCCAAGGGGGCAACCGCCCTGCTGTCCCTAGCACCGCCATTGAAATTACTTGTGCATTGCCATTGAAGAGAGGCCATCATGTTCTTATCACTTAAACTACGCCTTATCAATGAAACCATCTGTCTTATAATTTATAGTGTATTTTTATCCAATTGAATAGTGCCTAGGCTTTTTTTTCTTTTCTTTTCTTTTCTTTGATCAAAGTGGAAATTCATCGATAAAATAACTGTTTAACATAATACAACCACGAATTGCATATAATATAGTTCTTATTCATGAGCTGCTCCTACTTCCTCTCTAGGCATTTTGAACAAGCGTACACGTTCAAAATTTGTCTCCTCTAAACCAGCTATAGCTAGCATAGTTAAAGTTCTTTTTAGGCCACAAATTATAGATTGGCCCTCTTAATTTTTTAACTCTATGTGGATCAGTCTTAAATCGAATCATCATCTACTTATATTAGAGGTTAATATCAAAAACACTTCCGAGGTTTGGTTGATTAACTAAGACACAATTTCTGTTTGAAGAAAGATAGGATACATCTCTTGATTGAACAAACTTGAAAGTCAAATAATAAGAAGAATAAAATAACTAGAATGATCTCACAATTTCAGGCTAAGTCTTTTTTTAAAAGAAAAAAAAAACATAAAAAAAGGTCACAGTGTCTTTTGCTAATGTTACATTTTAGGTATGTTCGAAAAAAAAAAAAAAAAGGAACGCCAGAAAAACGAAATTATTAGAAAAAAAAAATTACTAGTCAAAAAAGTAACGTGTCTAAAAAATTCACCTAACTATAATATTTTGTAGTGTTTGATTAAAAATAATCATTGTGAAATTATGGCAATACAATTTGTTAGGTCCGTCCAACAAAAAATACTTCACTTTATTATTGTTTTAATTCAATAGAGTAGATTATTTTTCTAAATCAGAGAGAGTGGTATTATACAATAAAAATTTTGTTTAAAACAAAAAATTGAGATAAGGGCATTTACATCTTAAAAACATGAAAGGAAATGTTGGCATCACTATAGTAAAAATGAGTAGTTTAGACACTTTTTGTGTGTCAATAAATGATGTAATAGGACACATGTGATTCACATTGCATGGGACATTACTAAATAGTGTCTCCTATAATCGAGTCACAATAAGTCATAAAACATTTGAAAGTGTATTATTAGATTGTCACTTATTAAGACACTTTAAAGTGACCCATTAAGTAGGGTAATAGTTCACAAGCAACCCCACATAGTACAGTTAGATAGTGTTTCATAATATGCATACACTTTTTCATTTTTAATAAGTCACTTTTTAGCAAATGTCCTAATACACATATAATGAGACATATTTTAGAAAAAGTGTCCCACTATAAAAGTATTAATAGTCCATTTTTATTGTAGTGCATCACTGATTTACATCATCATTTTGACACTAAAGGTTCATTTTGATAGTTCACCTAATGTAAAAGTATGTATCGATACTTTCTTAAACAGTAATGGTGTTTTTAGAGAATCAACCAAACCTCAACGGGATATTTTATACTAACCCTTATATTAATTTTCATTCGAGACATGATAAATTTGTCTAAGTAGTGTCATGTTACAGTAAATATGTTGTTAGTCGAATTTCCGCCTGAATACGCAACCATTCTTGCCTCAGGCCATCAGAATATATAACTCCCAGAGTTGTTGCTCCCATGAGATTTTCTTCCGTGTCGAAGTCCATAAGGAAATTGTTTATTTACAGCCCATAAGAACAGATATGGAGAAGGGAGAATACATGTAAACTAAGCCCACCTTTATTTCCTCACATGGCCCAAATTATAAAAACCTCACTTTGTCAAGATAGTTGCTCACATTTCTAGCAAGGCAATTTACCAATTTTCAAAATTAACTCTTCCCGTCCTAAAAAAAATATATATATTTATATTGAATTTTTTCGTTTTATACAAACAATAGTACCAGTCTCAAAATCAACATGAATTTTTTTTTTAGGTCAAAAGGAGTATATATTTTTTTAATTAGTCCTGGTTACAATCCAATACAGTTAATGAGTGATGTTAAAAATATTTGATATATAAGCTAATTGTTAAATGATTATATTCTTAATTTACAGACAAAATCTAAAATACTTTCCTCATTTTCAAATAGGGAGAATGAGCCTTTTCATCCCAAGGTTTGAGCCACACCATCTAAAACATCCCAAATTTTAAAAGTATACCATTTTCATCCCAAACTTTTCAAAAATATGTAATATTAGGACATTTGTTAATTTTTTCAAGTTATTAACGGCGATATTTCATTCAGTTTCTTTTCTCCCATTTTTGTTTTTAGTCAAAAAAGTTTTATGCTTGCGTTTAGTAAATTTAGTCCATGCCAAGCAAAAAAGTTGCATGTCCCTGCATCAATTATAACACCAATTTTTATAATAATGCTACATATTTAAAAAAATAAATAAAATAGGGCTTACTTTCTAATTAGGACATACACAAAACCTATCATGATTGTTATCAATCTAGAAGGTGAATCTTGAATTTTTTTTTTTCTTTTTTTAAGCAAGGGAAGAATGGATGATGTGAAGACCAAATTAGGTTTAGCTATTTTCTTATAAGGTGGGAGTTAGTGGAACGTGTTAAATGATTAAAAGAATTGGGGGATGAGAAACAGAATAAAGTATCAGCACTAATTAATTAAGTGGAGTTAAAAATTTAACGAATATCTTAATGTAACATGTTTTTAAAAAGTTTGGGATGTAAATGACATGTTCTTAAATTTTGGGATATTTTGGATGGTGTGGCCCAAACTTTTGGATGAAAAGACTCATTTTCCCTTTTCAAATAAATGTTATTTTAGCAAAACGAAAAAATTTCAAAATAAATGTAGTTTTTTTTTATTTCAAAGAAATTTTGTCCAAATTTTTTAAAATTAACCTAAGAAAAAGTAAAAATGGCAATTATTTGTTTTAATATAGTATGTTTAAGATGTTCTAGTAATTTATCCAATCTTTTTTAGAAATAGTATCTGCTCTTAAATTGTGTAAATTGTCTAATGATAATTGTTTTTTTTTTTTTATGTAATTCAGTGTCTTGACTCTTGTTCAGTACACTGTATACCCCATTGTTTTCTAATTTAACCCTATTTAAACCATTGGTTCAACTACCAACTGCTTCAAAAGTGACAAATCATGAATGATGTTTGGTGTACGTCCCTATCAGCAACACTACTTAACCAATCCCAATCACATGCATATGTTTACCTCTTATTTGTTGCTGTAAATTGCAAAAGAAATTCCGGATAGGCATGTTCAAACCTGGTATGTATATTTTATTACGCTTTTGCGTAAATTTATTATTTTCAACAAATTTGATACTCGTTTATGAAGAATTAGTATTATTCATTGGTTATATAGATATCCACACGAAAATGTGTAAACCATTAAGGACAGCGTAATATTGTTAGACGGAAAAAAAAAAAACGAAAAAGTGGTGCAAAAGGATTTGATACGTACAAATAACTATGAAAATTATTTTCTTCAAAAAAATAAAAATAAAAAACTATGAAAATTTTTTGGGGAAATTTTTTTTCCATTAGTTGCAACTGTCGGCGCACAATTGAGAAGAAGAGACAATGTGTTCATATGAAATTACCTGAAATGCATACAATCCCGTGAATTGAGAGTTTTTTAAGCAACTCCTTCTCGACAAGCAATCCAATTTCGGCGTTAAACTTTAGAGGGATGAAATGTGGAAAATGAGTATTTGGAAATCTGGGATTGTATATAATTGATTTGTTTTGGTTTTGACATATATATATATTCTTAATCCCTTTACTCAAACTCAGATCTGAAGTTGTTCCAACTGCAGTAATGGCAGATGAGATTGACAACGTTAGATACGAGGAAGAGTTCATCCGGAATTCAAACGGATCCAAGCTATTCACTTGTAGATGGCTGCCGACAAATTACGAACCAAAAGCTCTGATTTTCTTATGCCATTCTTACGCCACGGGTTGCAGTATTTCCATGAAAGGAACAGCAATTACGCTTGCGAAATCAGGCTTTGCTGCATACGGAATGGATTACATCGGCCACGGGAAGTCGTCGGGGCTTCAGGGATACATACCCAGCTTCGACGATCTAGTCAATGATTGCTTCGATCATTTCACCGGCGTTGCCGAGAAGGAAGGGAACAGGAACAAGATGAGGATTCTGATGGGTGAATCGATGGGAGGAGCGATCGTGTTGCTGTTGCATTTGAGGAAACCGGAGTATTGGGACGGCGCCGTGTTGTTGGCTCCGATGTGCAAGATTGCTGATGAAATGTTACCGCCTCCGTGGCTGATTAATGCTTGTAGGAAGCTCTCTGACATTATTCCGACATGGAAAGTTGTCCCGAGTGGGAATGCGGTTGATCTTTCCGTCAGGGATCCGCGGATTAGGGAAGACGTGAGGGCGAATCCTTTGATCTACAAAGATCGCCCTCGCCTGAAAACCGCTTACAATCTACTGGATGTTACCATGGACCTGGAAAAAAGACTTGGAGAGGTTAGTATGTGTCTATCCTTACTCCTGACACTGTTGCCCTGAAACTGTCCTGTTCCGGGATGAAAACTAAATTCTATGTATTTCTGTTGTTGTTTCAATTGGGTGATTAGGTGTCGATACCATTCATTGTTCTTCATGGCGAAGATGATAAAGTTACCAGTCCATCTGCGAGCAAGTTGTTGTATGAAAAGGCATCCAGCTCGCAGAAATCGATCAAGTTGTATCCCGGTATGTGGCATGCTCTTGCCGGCGGGGAGTTGCCCGAGAATATCGAAACTGTTCGTGCAGATATCGTCAACTGGTTGAATGAGAGGATATCTATAGGTAATTCCAGGCTAGAAAATTGAAGTAAAACATGAAGACTGGCACTAAAGCAGTTTGTGCTTCAAGTGATAAATTATGTAGTATTGTTGTGGACAAAAAGACCAGTGTATCTTGTTTGATCCCCTGATTGTAGCTTATCAGTCAGTATAGAGATTGAAGTAGAATAAAATCTTTTGAAACGAATTATTAAAAATTTATTAAGATATACATTTAAAACGCGAGGATGTGTTACAGTAACAGCTATTAGAGAAGACTACAACAAATGAGAACAAAAAGTGCAAATGGAGTTTGAGCCATATGGACACAAACACAAAACTGAAGAAGCAATAAACTGGATTTTCTAACGCTATTAAATTACAAGATATTGTTGTTGGATCAACATTCAACAACCCAAGGGAAGAAAAAACACGAAATAGGCTTCCGTAATGGCGTAATCTTCATCATAAGGCCTATCACATCCTTCTCATGTACCTACAAGTTGAACTAAGAAATAGTGAGTCCTCAAATCAAGAGGTCAGTGCTGACTTCAGAGGAGGTAGAAGAAAAAAAGCACCCCTACCATTTTCTCAAATCAAGAGGTCAGTGCTGACTTCAGAGGAGGTAGAAGAAAAAAAGCACCCCTACCATTTTTCCCCATAAATTTAGGTAACCACCCCAACGAATAACAATAATTGTCCTGAAAACTATCTTTACCAGGGCAGAAGACATTGGACGGTGTAAATAAATCAAAAGCAGAAGAAAGTGGTGGTTATAAACTAGAGAGCAGAGACGGTAGCATGAGAACAGTTGGAAGCTCACTTTGCACATTCATGCAATATGAACAGGTTAAACATTGACTCGGACTCTAAGGACAACAACTACAACAACAATTATAAGGACACTAATGCAGAAAGTTCATAACAGAATTCATTACCACAAAATAAACAACTCACCTTCATCAAATGCTCTAATTTACCCAAAAGATAGCTCAAACAGTTAAGAATCCTGCATTGGATAAAGACGTTGCAGCATCAATTATATTGAAGTATAACAAGAATCAAGAAAGATCTATGTGAGTCATGAGATACGGGAAATAATGCAAATCGAGATTCCAGATATTCTTTTAAAAACCAAAGCCCTTCTGATGCTCAAGATGATATTTGAATACAATCAGTTTACTTGTGGGATTCAAAATGAATATGATTAACACTAGACACATGTAAGGCAGAGGTTGGACATACAATGAGAAGGAACACGAGTACATCTCAAAATTACTTGGAAACATCTCTTTCTAAACAGTAAAGTGTAAAGTGTTTCCCACTACAACAACAACAATAACAAACCCAGTGTCAAGAATCAAGATGTATTGCAGCCTTACCCCTGTATTTTCAGTACAGAGAGGCCATTCAAATACAACCCAAGATAATGAAGAAAATACAACAAAAGACAGCAAAAAAGTACCCAAGAGGCTGCATTCAGCACAGAGTTTCCATTAATGAAGAAAATAAAGCCTCTGTCAAAAGACAGCAAAAAATACAACATACCTGTCTATATGCACACAGTAAATCCATCTTCCTTTGGGTGAAACAAAATCAGTCACAAAATCATCACCCGAGGAAGAACATTTTACAACAGAACTAGTGCATTTAGAATGGTATGATGTCAATAGAAAAGGTTTACAACGGCGGGATCTGCATCTACAATGTCTAGTATTCAGAGAAACATGGAAACAATTATTACTCCAATGTCTGACCAAAGAGATTGAATTGTCCAGTATTAAGCAGGAAATTTCATATCCACCTTAATTATCTTTTTTCCTTTTAATGATATTTTAACATAAAAAGAATGTATAATGAACAACTCAAGGGTTTCAGACAAAGAATGAACAAACCATAAGCCACAGCAGCTGCAAATCATCCCAATAAAACAGTATTTGTCACAAAATAACAAGAATTCTTATACTACCTGCTCCTACAGAGTCATAATCCATATCAATATAGTTTTCTTACAAACCACAATATGGTCGGCATTCATTGGGAAGATATGGATTGAATTTACAAATGCCTCACCCCAAAGTTAGAGAAACAAAATACGGAAGAAGTAAGACCAAATTACAAAATGGCACTAATCAAGGTGTGTAGATTGCACAAGAGAAGAATAACAAAGAAATCAAACATCCTCTGACTCAGGAATGCAAATTTGCAAAACGCATTGGTATGTCTCATGTGAGCCAGTTCCCTCGACAGAAAGATTACTCCTTAAAGGAGGACAAGGACTTTTTCTGCAGGCAGTCAGTAGTCTTAATGTCCCGCAAATGACATAAATACAGACTTTCAATTTTTGACAAAAATCAAACTGAAGACTGTAGACTATGAACAAGAAGGAAAAAAAAAAAAAACAACAACAACAAAAGATTTTGAGACCAAATGTAAAACATCATTGAAAGGACTTAATTGCATTAATGTCAGCTTCTCTTTCCTTCCCCAAGAGAGTAAATAAAAATAGTAATCCACAAATCATAGTATATTGGACCAATACATGGAGAAGCTCACTCCTTTCTTAGGGTTAAAGAAAAAGAGACAGTCACAAAAAATAAGAAAAAAATGCAAGTAAGACTTTATGATAAAAAAAAAAAAAAAAAAAGTAAGACTTTATGACAAAAAGAACAGATCACACTTAATTGTAGATAGCCGATCGAGAAAAATGTAAACAGACTAATACCATTAGATAAAGAGTAGCTGATGCTACATCCACCTGATACATCTCCACGGAATTATGATTGTCATTAGACGCCCATACACAAAAGGGAATGAAAGAGGAAGTAGGACTCACTTTTTTAAACGAGAATTCTTTCCCAAAAAGGAGACTCTTATATGGAAAACCACAAGAACAATATTGTTCTATTCCAGGGTAAAAATCAGTAGCTCTTTACTAACCCTCCCAATAATAGGTCAAACATCTAATAATCAAGCTTTGTGGGACTCAGCTCTTACCACAAATTTCCTTTTGCGTAATGTTGATATCTTATATTCTTTGATTATCTTTAACCTTTCTTAGTTACTTTTGACTACAAGCCTCGTTAAACTCATAGAACAAAACTCAATTAGTAAGAAACAGTAGTTGGTTCCAAGTATAGGTAATAGCAAAATTACCTTTGTGGTCATGTCCAAGGGTCGTAGGATACACATCTTTGACATCTTGTTTCGTAGCAGCTGTCCCTCTGAGTATATCAAATTGCATTCCAGGTGGAAGCAGTCCTAAAAAAAACGAAAGACAAGACAAAGATCAATAAACATCATGCAACTACAAAATCTCAAGGTTGTATAGTGTTCCAAGAAGTATTATATCAACATCAACATCCGAAATTCCCAATAAGAACAGTATTTCAATAACTATGAATAAGACATTCTGAAATTCTGAATCAAGTCTAAGTGGTATAATAAATGATAACACATTCGTTCAACCCAATAAGGAACAGAAAAATAGTGAATCTTCATTTAGTGGATATTCACTTTCATTTACTGTGAAGAATATGAAAGAAACATCCAGACATAAATAAATACCAAATTAGCATATCCTATTCAAATTCTCACACAATAACAGATGGTCATTGGTACAGCACGTCAAAAAGCTCATAACATTCACTTCTAACCTTGATTCTGCTGCAACTTCAAAGCCTGACCAATTAGAGCGATCAATCATAAAGGTGTAACCACTCAGACTTCAGTAAAAAGACCTGGGTACCGTTAAATCCCACGTGAGATGTGTTTGTGTTGTGAACTTGTATTGGGATGCTAACAACCAAACCATGGTAACGCTGCACACATTTAACAAATAGCAGTTTTTATTATTTCAGTAAGGGAAGCTCAGGTTCAGTTTCCAAAACAAACTATGAAACATCGAAAAGAAATAATATGCTTCACTACAACTGGTAAAGCAATAATCACATTTCATTAATTTTTCAAACCAACAAAGTTTTTATCTTTTCTTCTCATCAAGACTAAAAAGGTACAACAAAAAAACAACAACGTACGAATAAGAATTCAACAGACAGAAATTGCATACTTGTTCATACAAATGTTCCAGAAAATTTCATTGCAGTTCAGCTGTGAGACTTGTGGTAACGAAGCATCCCACCTTCCACAAGTGATGGCAGCAATAAGCCGAACACTCTTTTGTAGGCTTTGGAAAGTTTCATGTGAAGTGTTCTCTTGGCAAAATGAAGAACTATCTTAACCACAATACAAAATAAACAATAGAAATTAAATTCTGTCTCAGAAATTTGGCCAACCAATATGAGATTGAATACAACATCCAGTTAAATCAGTGTGAATGAAACTTCAGTTCGTACCGATTAAATCAGCCAAACATAAAATCTGAAAGAGAGTGTCCAAACATTCAATTTAATCATGTGAGATTTTATTGGCTTTGACGTTATGTATTAACCCAAAGGTCCCAATCCCGGAAAAGGTTTCCAGAAACCAAAACCCTCCCAAAGAATGAGAATTTTCAGCTCAAATTTACGAATGAAGAAAAATTCCAGCAAAGAATTTCACTGACAATATCTACAATGTCTTCAATGGTTCCTTGTTAATTCACCTCCACGAACAAATCTATATTTCAAAATTCATGCCAAAAAAGAAAGGGGAAAAATTGATACACAAAGCACAATTGGGTGGGAAGAAAAAGAAGAGAAGCTTACTTGCGAGCAGCGATTCCAATGGTGGAAGCCATGGATGAAAGAGCTAGTGTTAGCTTTCGCAAACGACTATCTAAAATTGTTACCCTGCCTGAATATTATATACGTTTCACTTATGGAGCAGCTTATTAAAACTTTAGGGGGTCTATTTAAGAAAAACTCTAGTGGGAGTTGTAAAATCACCACTGTTTTCTAATAAATAGTTCTGCATTTTTTATTACAACACAAACATTCATTTCTATTAAGTTTTGCACAATCTCAATGATTATAATTTGAATTTTTATATTTAATTACAATGAAAAATTGTAGTACTAAAAATGAAATCTGACGATGCTTGGAATTACGCCTCCGGCTTGATGGTGGAACTCCAATTAGGGTTTCTTGTAAAACAGAGTCTCGGGGCCTCCCGAGAGTAGATACTCCAAAGCTTAAGTCAGAAAATAGGGTTGCGAAATAATGTATATATGTGAATTGGTGCTAGAGATAGCGTACCTCAATTGTAGTGCTTTTATCCCTATTTATAGGCATAGGAATACCCTAAGGGAACCCGAATCCTACTAGGGTTTAGTCATGTTGCTGCCCTATTGGAGTCGGTCGGGCTCCTTACTCAGTTAATGGGCCGGTCCAATATCGATGGTGGATATGGACTCGTCAAGTGCCCCTGTCAAGTATTAGTTATATGAAATAAATAAGACTTGACAAAATATAAATCTAACCTGGACTCGGCCCAAGTTGATTGCGCAGCCGATAGCCCAAAGTGTCTTAAGCAGGCCTGTTGGTATAACTCGCGGGTCAAAACCCGATCCGAGAACACAACCCGCTTTAGAATCCCGCCCGAATCCTAGCAGACATGCCCCATTACTTGGCACGATTTCCAAACGACGGCCCCGTCATCATTATTGTCCCTTGAACTCCGCTCCAACCGTCAAATCGTAGGAGAGAGAATTAATATATACTGGTGTCAGAAGCTCTAAAGTTTTTTTTTCAAAACATCTTCTTCTGAAAATACATAGCATAGTTCTCTATTTTTTCTGCCTTCTCTGCATATCACTCGCCACCGCCCAGCAGTAAAGCTTTATTTCGTCACCGGAGATTTTGGCATTTTCTGTCAACAGAAGAGATTCACTGCGTCGGGCAAACAAAATTCAGAAGAACACC